TGGCGGTCGCTCCCCATCCCAGGCCCCTCGCGCCTCCCGGAGACCCCACTGCTCTGCGCTGGGCCGAGCCGGGAGAGTGGGGGGGTAGGGCTGCCTGTGGCTCCCGAGGTCAGGTGGTCGCAGGGGGTGGGAGGATGCCCGGTGGGCTGGAGGAGAGGGGCGACCGCCTCCTGGGAAGCACCACTGGAAGCCGGGAGTGAGTGGACGCGGTGGGGCCCGGCCCCAGGTAGAGAGAGGCCCCCCAGCCCCGCGCGGCGTATGCGGGAGCATCGCATTCTGCACCGAGATTTTTCTATTTTGCAACTGGGCAGTGCGAGGCCTCGCCCAAGGTCACCGCCGGGCTGTGCTCTTGGAAGCGCTGGGCCGCCCCCGCCCCTCCCGGCACTGGAGAGGGCCGAGCGTCCTTGCGGGGTGTGGACCCCGTGAATGTGGCAGCCTCGACTCGGTGATCCAGAAGTCCCTGGGGAGGAGGGAGAGGCAGCGATCACCCTTCTGCCCGGAACCGGGTGTGCCCTGCTCCTCTGGAAGTCCTAGACGTGGGGCTCAGAGAAATATGTGGAGTTTTTCCTAGCCCAGTGCTGCTTGGACCTCATTTCATGGCTGAGGAACCGCGGAGCAGGGTGGTGACACCACCTTGCAAGGAAGTGTGGCCCAGCTGAGACAGCTCCAGGGTCTTTCCCGTGTTCCTCTGACACCCATCTCCTGCCATCTCCCTGCTCCTGTCCAGGGACACAGCCCAGGATCTCGGCCACCTCTGGGGAGCATGGCCTACAGCACACCCTTCCACCCTCCCCACCCTCCGGGCCCCCTGCCTCCCACTTCAAGCCACCCCCAAAGAGATAGTCAGTCATCCGGCAGACAGTAGCCTCGGCCTCGGCCATTCCACCTGCCGGGCTTGCCTTGCCTTCTCCCTCCAAGTATGGCGGGATCCCAGAGCAGAAGGACAGACCATGGCGGAGGGGGCGAGACAGGAGTGAAGTCCGGGGTTAATCATTACCACTAAGTACCAAAGGCAGCCTCGGTGTGGCAGCTGGACCTTGACCGTAAGGCGTTAACACTGGGGGGAGCTGGGTGGAGTTCACGGGCGTGTTCGTGCTGTCTTTGCAATTTGGCTGTAAATCTAAGATAATCTCACAATACAAACTTTATTTTAAAAAATCCAAGGAAAACCAGTTTCCTTGCCCTCAGCTTCCTGTCCTGTTCTCCCCCACCTGTGGACAAATCAAATGCAAGGTGAGGCTTCTGTCACCTAAAGCCACTCCAGGGCACTGGGTGGGCTCCCCCGGGGGCAGGGCCATCTGGGAGTGGCTCTGTCTGGAGCAGTGGTCCCCTGCATGCCCTGGTAGGCTAGGCCAGCTTGCACGGGCCGGGCCTCCCTGCCTCTGAGTTTGAGGTCAAAAGACAAGGTCAGGGCCACGCGCTTCTGTCTCTGGCCTGGCGCCCAGCGGGGACTTGTTTGCCAGCACTGCACAGACGGGGGCACAGGAGGTCCAGCTGTCCAGGGGCACACCCAGAGGTCTGGGCTCAAGCCCCCTCCCGTGCCCACCCACATCCCTGTGGAATCTTCACGGTGCGAGACGTATGGTCACTCCGGCCACTGTTAGTTGAGTTAGGTGCTGTGTACTCGCAGCAGCCATTTGTCCTGTGCCTGGACACACTGGGCCAGGCCTCTTTATGTGTCGTCTTGTTCACACTGCCTGAAGAGGCATCACAAATGCCACTTTACAGCCAGGGTAACTGAGGCTCTCAGTGTGTACCCCTGCATGAAGTTTGGGGGGTCAGGTACGTAGAGACACCCAGATCAATGGCCCCTGAGCCCCTCCCCTCCTGCCTGCTGCTCCAGCAATGGGGGAGCTCCAGGACTTTTGAAGACAGGCCCGAGCGGAGGGTCCCCACTTCCCCGCTATGTGCGGCAGGAACCCCGGAGGCCCCTAGGAGAACCCTGGGCTGGGAGTCGGGCCCCAGCTTCCGGGCCAGGCTCCACCCTGTGCCAGCTGTGCCCCTGTGCCTCCACTTCTGTAAAGAAGATGAGCCAGTGATGTGAGGCTCTGAGGCTGATGGCCCTCCTGCACTGGACGCCAGGCTGGGGACAGGAGGTCATCAGGTAGCTCAGCGAAACTTCCTTTCCCCGCCGAGGCCTCAGAAAACAAGTGACGTTTTCCGGGC